ATTCTATTCATTGCATTATCCACCACATTACAGGTCATTTCCGCCATATGCCTATATTGTATGTATCATAATATACACTATGCAGATGTACGGAAGTGCGACTAATATTGCCTTAGTAAAACAACATTATCAATAGATTCAATAAAATGAAGCCTGAAACCATGTGTAGATTTCAACGACCTCATTCATATAAATTTGAGAAGTATTTAATGAGGTGGCAGACAAATATTTGCTTGCCGGAGGAACATTCCACTGATAGCCTGGTTGTAAATCTGCTGAAATGAACTTTATCGGGAAAAAGTACTGTAAAGGAAAATTTATTTTGGGTTTTTCTGAATCCGTATACCCTTGTCTCAGAAAAAAATCCCCATCCCTAAGGCTGGGCAATTTTTGTTTACAGCACGTAGAAATGTTGGCATAAATACCCTATTTTTGACAATTTAAGATGAGGGTAGGGGAAATAAATTTATGTTTTAGTCACTTTTTCATAACTATGAATATGAAATATAACAACAACTTGACTAAATAGATACTCATCACTCTTGTTAAAAAAAATTGATCGGAATGACGACGTCACCATGACAAAATCCAAGATAGCGTCCATTTTGGACGCTATCTTGGATTTTGTCATGTTATTGTTATCGAAGTAGAAATAAAATCTCAAAACAATATTATACAACAGGAGTAAAAAAAACATACATATAATGAACACTACAATACAAACCCAATGAAACAACGAAATAGTAAAATTTTGCTTTAACAGACCAAATAATAGGCCAACCATTTTTGGACTTCGAATCGGGGTATCGGAAACATTTATGTTTTTAGTCACTTCTAGTTTTGCTATAAAATGTCAAAACTGACAGGACCTATAGTTAAAATACTCACCATTTACTGTTGTTCAGTGTAATGGCACCAGTTGTCTGACCGGGTGGGTCCAAACACAGGGCCGACTAGACCCTCGGTCAGAGTACAGGAAATAAACATCCATGAGCTCATGGGAGGCTTTTTTTTAGCTTAGAATATGGCCTAAAATTTTGCATTAAAGCCAAAATATTAGGGATTGGCAATCAAAATAATGTCATATGGAGAGACAAATCAATATTTGTGGTGTGGTGACTTCGTCGTGGCGTCGGACGATGGAGGTCTAGGTCTGTCTGACGGAAATTTCCCACCTTTCGAGAAAATTTGTAATGATGACGTCATCAACAAAATTCCAAGATAACGACAATAAAAATTAAAATGTTTACCTATTGAAATTTATTATTCCTACACTACACTTTTCTTCATCAACATTGTACTATTATGTTCTTATGCTTTCTTAATCGTATGCTTTTTTTTGAAAAGTATAGTTTATTATTAAAATTAATATAGCATTAGCACTGTTATTCTTGCTATACTGATGTCATTATCATCATCTTCACCCTTATCCTCATCTTCATTCTCGTTCTCCTCATCCCCATCATACTCACAAGGATGCTGATGATGATGAGGATAAAGATGTTGAGGATGATATGACGAGAAGAAAGATGATGAGGATGATGGATGAATGATGGATAATGATGAGGAAGAAGATGATGGTGATTATGATTGATGATAATGGTTGTTGATGAGGATGATTGTAATAATGACGATCATGAGGATGATTTATAATGATGAAGATGAATACGAATTATGAAAATCATCCCTCTCATCCTTCCCTCGTCGTCGCCGTCGTCTTCCTCCTCATCCTTGAGGATGATAATGATGATGATGAGGATAAGGATAATGATGATAATGATTGATGAGAACGAGGATAATGACGGTCATATGATAGGAATGACAATTATTATGATACTAAGGAAGATGATGGAATGATGACAATGATTACGATGACGATAAAAATGACAAGGAGCTGGATGAGGTTGATGAGCAAAAGGAAGATGAGGTAGGTGATGAGGATGATCGATGATGATGCGGAAGAAGATGATGGTGATGATGATGATGATGACGATAAGGAGGAGGATTAGGATGATGAGATCGATAATGAGGACAAGAATGATTATGATTGATGATAATTGTTGTTGATGAGGATGACTGATAATGATGATGAGGATGATTGATGAGAATAATTATCATGATGATGAATAATGAGAATCCTCACCCTCATCTTCATTCTCGTCCTCCTCCTCCTCATTATCATGAGAAGAGAATGATGAAGATGAAGAGGATAACACTGATGATGAGGATAAGGATGTTGATGATGATTGATGAGATGGATAATAATGATTATGATGATGATGACAATGATCATAATGAGGATGACGGTAATGATGATGATGAAGATAAAATTAATGAGGATGATTATGGTAATGATGATGATGAGGATAAGGATAATGATGGTAATGAGGATGATGAAAATGATAATGACAATGATAATGATAATGGGGATGATAAGGGATCATTGGGTCTTTCAGCAAAATTTCACTATTTCTTTTTCCAGTGGGTTTATATTGTGATAGTTTATTATATATATGTTTTATTTTATTGCTGTATATATATATATATACTATTGTTTTGAGATTTGTTTTGAGATTGTATCAGATACAATCTCAAAACAATAGTATATATATATAATAATAATAACAATAATAATAATAACAATAACAATAATAATAATAATAATAATATAATGGTATTTATACATTGTTTTGAGATTGTATCTGTACATATACAATCTCAAAACATAAAAAACTCAAATCTAAAAACATACATTCATATTCCCTACCTCTATCTTAATTAGTCCAAAATAGGGCAATTTATGCCAAAATTTCACAGTGCTATAAAAAAATTGCCCAAGCCCTAAGAATGGGGTTATTTTTTCCAAGACAATATACGATGTACTTACTCAGAAAAACCTAAAATAAATTTTCTTTTACCTTTTTTCTGCTAATTTGCTACTGCACCCAGTCTATGAGGCATTTGCAAAAAGGATAATACTTTGATTACTGTACATACAAGCTTGATTTTTTTATAGTTACAGTATATACACTCTCATACTATGCGACCGGTGTATAAGATCCCGAGTTTTTGAGCATTTATATAGCTCTCTTTATCGGGACTATGTATGTGGGCTGTGACACCTGCTCCTGCCATTGGAGGGTCCCGATTAAATCTTTTGGTGGAAATATTTTTCTAAGCCAGAGGCGGTGGTACAAGAACACCATTTTGAGGATCTCGACAAGGCAAAATTGACATTTTTTTTTTTAACTCGGCTCCAAAATGGAGAAAATAGGAAAATTATATTCAATTGTTATGTCTGAGAGTGCCATTTTCAGTCATCTAGAGGTGCCATCCATAAATTTTCTCACCTCATCGCCAACCGTGGTGGTACTGAGGTGTACAAGCCCACAACCTGGGAAAATCCCTCCCTCGGCCCCCTCCATTTCAAATTTCTGGATCTGCGACTGAATGGACCACCTGGTGAGAAAATGTTGACATCAGGGGTGGTAAACCAACAGATGGAGGAACAATACAGTACCTGGTATATCCTATTAACACGAAGAGGATAAGTACCCCAGGAATTGTATTCCACTTGCTAGTTCTTTGCAAATTTAGTATATGATTATTGGGATGAATATATATATATATACCCTGTATTTTCAAGTACTGTACTCTCACATGAAAAGAATGAACATTATTTTTTAGAGTGTCATTATTAACACTTGCACGAACAGATTTCATATATTATTCTGAGTAAATTGAGATTCTGTGTTTAGATTGCTGATTGCCTCAGTAGACATTCTTGTTTCTAGGTGTATAATTGGCCTCAAGCGATGCTATCTGCCTGAGCAACTTCTGTTTCATTGATTTCGTGAGTAAATCTAGTCTCTTCGGCGCCATTTTCAACAACGGGCTCGTCATTTTCACAAGGCTTGTACCCAGGTGGATCTTCAGCATTCAATTGGTCTTTTGTCAAGTGATAAATAACACCAGCGCCAATCGAGTCACCTTCTATATTTACCATTGTTCGGCATCGATCTCTGAAAAAATTATTCATTTCATTATGTATGGTTTTTGTCTTTAGAGTCATCATTATGGTCAAATAATGATATGAAAAAAAAAAGTATTCGAAAACTAATCAATTTTAAAATTAAGGAGGAAAAAGTATTTTTTAATTTACGGTCTGGCGAACACCACTACCAATGTTGACATACCAGATTTAGTTTTCTGTACTGTCATAATATTTTAGAAATAGTTTTGAGAAAAAAAGATGGGTCCACATTTTGAAAAATGGGTCCAAATTATGCAATTTCATACATAAAATGGGTCCACTATTGAAGAATGGGTCCAGATTTCTCATACTAAGCCTAAAATGGGTAAAATTTTAAGAGAATGGGAGCAGATTTTTCATATTTTTTTACGTAAATTAGGTCAACTTTTAAGAAAATGGTCCACATTATTTGAATTTATGCGTAAAGTGGGTTCACTCTGATATTGTACTGCACTGTTTGAAAATCTTGCCTACGGCATTGGTTGCGTAGTATCTGTCGTAGAGTCGCTAGGGGTCTGAGTTTTTGGAGGGTCCTGGTTAATACGGAATGTTGACTTTTCCATATAGAATATTTGTTGTATAATGTAATTTTTGGTTTTGTTGTAGCCTTATGATACCACTTTTTTAATTGCTTCCAAAGTTGCTAACTTTAATTTGTTATTTCTGTTTCTCCTTCACAGACTAGTAGAACACCCTTTTTTCCGTGTTAAAATAAAGCTTTTATTAAGATTTAGGTTTTTATGATGTACACACAAAGTACTACATTCTGACAAAATTTTTTATGTGATGGGTTGAAACTGACCGGTTTTGGGGGTTTTTCGAGGGGGTCTAGAGTCATACCAACCCCCGGGGTTCATCTTAGTACATCCTTTTATAAATGACTGACAGCATAACCAATTTAAGGGGGTCAAACCTTCTAGGAAAAATGGGTAGAAATCTTCTGTTGCTAGCTCTCGGATTATGTAGGGATAACCAATCAAATTTCAGAGATTTAACCAATTATATTATTATTAGGTATTATGAACAGATCAAAGAGGTTAAATGAACAATGCTTTATAAACAATGATAATTATTATTGTGAAAATCAAAGATGCCTATAACAAAACAATGATGATCGAGTCTATTAAATCAAGGTAACAATGAAATTTGTATACGTACAGGAACCAGTCAACGATAAAAATCAGCGAAATATCGTCAATTGGAATTCCAACAGCATTCAAGACTATCACCATGGTGATAAGACCAGCGTGCGGAATGGCAGCAGCACCAATGCTTGCAAGGGTGGCAGTCACACTTTAGAAAAAAAGAATCGAGAAATATTTATGTACAGTTATGTAATCAATAAAGAAGACCATCAATGACACAGCAACATGTATAAACATGAGCTGGAATAATCTCCCATCAATAACATATGTTACATAATTTTTCAAAGCATTTTAATATATTTAAAATTTGCATTAAAAATTAGAAATCTACTATATTAAGGAAATAAAAATTGGAGCTGTATTAGTCAATAGCATAAAATACAATTGAAATATTAGGTATGGTATAGCACCTTCTTTAGACTAACAAAATTTATTGAGACATGTGACAAACTATCACAGCTTCATCAGGTGAATGATTGATTCACCTGATGAAGCTGGCTCAAGCTTGTGTCTCTCTAAAGAAGGTGCTACTATACTGATTTCATTTGTATTATTAGTAAAAATCTTCCATAAAAAAAAAATTATCATTAAGTTTTCATTGGAATAAGGATTTAAGTTCCCCATTCTCACTTTTTGCCCCAGGCCGAAACCAGCATATGTGAATATAAGTTCATTTCTCTTTGGTATGTGGGCCATGCTTTAATAATAAATATTTAGATTATTTTGTATAGCGCATATCATGCAAATAAGCCTATGTGCTTAGTCATTCAGCTCTTTGATATTTTGATAGTGGAAATAAAATTGTTGTCCTATAAAACTAAATCTACTCCTTAAACATGTTTCCAGGGTTATTTTAATTGGGGTAGGAGGGGGTGGTGTGAGGGCTCGATGTAAAGGGGCGCTGGCTGGCAAAAAAAGATGGTATGTGGTGATTTCATTTAATGCAAAATGTCACTATTTGAAACCATTTAGATAAGTCTACCTTCCCACAAAATATATTCCATTAAAGCACTATGAAATCATTATAGCTTCTTTAGTTAACATTTCACTATTACTTTAACTTTGTATATGATTTATATAATACACTAAATGTGTAATAGGAATTTTGAAAGGCATCCAATATATCTTTTCAAAAGATCTCTTGAAGCGAATCGCTTGTTTACCTAGCAAACATTTCTTGGTTTAATTACTTTGTGATTTCTTTTTTAATATCCTGTGCGTTTTGTTGTTGATATACGACTATAATAACCTGTGGTTTTATAAAATTGCTGACTGATGAATATTTGGCCTGTGTTCTCAAAAAAAAAAAAAAAAAAAGAAAAAGTAAAATGCGAATTTTGTTTTGGCATTAATAAATCTCTAAAATTAAAAAATCTCTTGAAGCGAATTGCTTGTTTACCTAACAACCATTTCTTGGTTTAACTACTTTGTGATTTCTTTTTTAATATCCTGTGCGTTTTGTTGTTGATATACGACTATAACAACCTGTGCTTTTATAGAATTGCTGACTGATGAATATTTGGCCTGTGTTCTCAAAAAAAAAGGAAAATGCGAATTTTGTTTTGGCATTAATAAATAAACCCTATGGTTTCGGCATTTGCATTAGAAAAATTTGAATAAAAGGTTCGTATCTTGAGCAGTATCAGTTGTATTGCTCCTGATCGAATTGATGATATTGATAATGATGATGATGATGATAATGATGATGAATTTATTGAAAATGATTATGAAGATCATGTATATATTTTAACAGAATAATGTTATATAATTTTTCAAAGCATTTTAATATATTTAAATTTGCATTCAAAATTAGAAATATATTATAATGAAATAGAAGTTGGAGCCATATATATTAGTCAATAGTATGAAATATAAATGAAATAAAAGTACAGTAGCACCAATTTATTGAGATTGTGACACAAAAATTAAAAAAAAAAAGATGTCCTATAAAACTAAACCTACTTCTTACACTAAAACATGATTGGCCGATGGCTCTGAGGAGTTCATCCACCCAGGCTTTCACTTTTACAGAATTATGCCAAATTTTGTTTTCATTCTGTATACTTTAAAAAAGTGAAATAAGATGGCGAGGGCAACCTATGAAATGTAAACATTTAAAGTAATGTATAATGCTAATATTTGGAGACGTACCTAATTGTAATAATGTCCTTCACATCTAATGGGATGTCGTTGAGCTGGGCTATGAAGATCGAGGCTACTGCTTCGTAGAGCGCGGTCCCATCCATGTTCACCGTTGCACCTATGGGCAGGACAAACCGGGTGATCCTCTTGTCGACTTTTAAATTTTCCTCCAAACAAGTCATGGTTACTGGAAGGGTAGCAGCACTACATAAAAATTACGAAGACAGATTTACAATTATCTTCTTTTTATCTGGAGGTCATGGGTTCGAATCCAACCCGAATCACTAGCAGGTAGGGCAAAACATCACTCACACCAGAATACCTTTTTATTGTGAACAGTGCAATATATTAAAAATTAATGCCTCTGGTGCATACCAATCCTATTGTTCACTTTGTTAATGGACTTTCTGCTAAGCCACGCCCCTTGGAAACTGTTGCTAAGGCCCCACAAATCAGTAGTGTGAAAACATCTATCACCTAGTTTCGTTTTGCTGCTTATTATGATACCAATCAACATCGAGTTCCAAGCGACAAATGATATATTGTGGTGTACAGTAGTGAAAACATGCAGAAAATGAATTTGTGGAAGTTTTTCAGGGAGATTTTTGTCTGGTTGCAGGAGGCCACCTCTGATTTCCATGAGACTCCTGCGACTTGCTTGTGCTGATCGGAAGTTGCTGATTTATAGAATATTACTTACATATTTTCCGGCCGCAGCAGACAGATGCAAATAGAGCAAAACTACGACAGGCCAACTTGAACAGATTGGGCGTGTGCTAAATTCTGGCCGATAGACTGGAAGCAGTCCAGACGGCGGTCAAACTCGTCTGATGATGTGCTTGCCACGTGCAAGGCCTATGATAGGCTGGATGGGGGGGATTTTTTTTTTTCAGTACATAAATATGGTGCAACAGGGCGAAGGTTTGTAATCTCATGTTATCTTGTTTTAAAATGTTACTTGTTTTTTTTAATTGAAATAAAATAATAGCCACAGACTTTTGAAAAATAGCATGCCTTACCTGGAGTCTACACTAAAAGCTGTGATGAGAGCAGGAATGATTTTCTTTAAGAAAGAGAATGGGTTCTGACGAACAAAGAAATAGTAGATGAGCGGCAAAATAACGACGCCATGGATAAAAAGTCCGACCACTACAGTGATGATAAAAAGGCCAAGTTGACCAAACATCAGCGCCCATTCATCCATCTCCAATAGTTTGCCAAGAACCAAGAAAAATACACCAAAAGGTGACAACCTGCAAACAGACAAAAAAAGAAAAAAATTATTTTAGAATGTCCAGGTCAGTAATAGTCAAATTATATATATGTTTATATATACACATATATATGTATATATACACATATATATACACACATATATATATATATATACATATACATTATATATATGCATACATACATATATATATATATATTTATATATATATATAAATTAATTATATATATATAAAAGATTAATTTGTATAATTTACCAAGTACATCTTTTTATAGCAAATAAATTTGCATATTCATTTTTATATTGAATGATGAATTAAAACAAATACTTTTGTGATTGTATTTTGAATTGTTTATACAGTAAATAAGATATAACAAGACAAAAATTTAGCAATATATATATATATTATATATATATATATATATATATTATATATATATATAAATTAAACAATACAGTAATCAAGATTAATTATAATCAAATGTATATTTATATATTGAACAATGAATTTGATAAAAATATTCTTGATTTTATTGTGAAGGTTTATAGCAAAAATAATAAATTTTGAAAAAGTATTCTTTTTATTGTAAATTTATTGACATTGGTACCTCAGTTCTGTAATACTGCAAAATTGATTGTTTGCTCTGAAATGTCGGTTTTCCAGCATAAAGTGTTTCTTTCAAATGTTAAATAAAAAGTATAGCCGCGTTAGTCTGTACAGTATAGAAAGTATAAAGTAAAAAACAGCAGCACTTTTGAGACTTCTTCTTCTTGAACGCTAGTCGTCGTTAGACATCGCAATTTTGAGAATTATTATATATTGTTAGTCTCAAAAGTGCTGCTGTTTTTTACTTCAAATGTTAATTAATTTCTATTCTATGAGATGAAGGTATACAGTTTCTTTCCTTTTATATTTTTATACCTTCTTTTTTCCCCCATTTTTAGCTGCTTTTTTAAAGTCCCTTTGTTATTTTACATTCAATTTGGCTTATTGCCACGATTTGTAAATTTTGAATAAAGAATTTAAAAAAAAAATTGAGGATATAAATATTGAATTTTGTGCCAATATTGATTGAAATTGTTTAACATTTGCATAGAGAAACTTGGCACTGAATTTCTTGTGTGTCCTTGGTGCACAAACACTTTTCTTTTCTTCAAAGGGGTGTGAATCATAAATGGGTATCTGGTGGATGTTGTAGCATTTAATGTATCAGTCTGTGCTGCCTTATACCAGGGGAAGATCCAGGGGAGGGACATGGGGATAGAATAAACAAACCCCTTCTTAAAAAATATAACGAAAAGAAAGGAAAGCAGGAAGAGAGAAGAGAGAAAAGAACATGTTATTGAAAGTACAGAATGATATCTCAAAGTTGTAACTGGACTCTTTTGAGTTTATTTTTACAATCTACTATACCACCCGTCCCCCTCCCCACCTTGCGTCTCTCTCCCCCTGCAAGCATGCAACAAGGAATACTCCCCAGGAAGTGGAGGAGGTTGTATTTTGTGCCAGTTTGCCAATATTGAGATCCAAAGACAAAAGGTAACATAACCAGTGCCTTAGTATTCTTGGTAAAATATGTGCTAGAGTTCTAAATACTAATAATTATTATTATTACAGGGCTCCCTCCAATTAAGGACCACTTTTGGGACCAGGGTTTCCATGGTCTATAGCTGCTTTGGTCCATAATTTTAATAATAAAGATAGACATTTGTTAAATTGGGACCACAAAAAAGTGGTCCCTATTGCAGGTGGTCTTTAATTGGAGGGGTTAATATTAGAGGAAGACCTGTATATTACATATCTTATATATCATCTTATTAATACCTCAAATTGTTCTTATTAAATTGTTTTAATTAATATTGGGTGACTTCTGCCTCACTCTTAGAAGTGAATGGACATGCAAAGAAGAAATGCTTACAATACTAAAATTCAAATGATTATCAATGTGAGCAATATGCACAAAATATGATAATGAACATCATGTCAGTTGATCATGTTAGACATTATGACGCTGAATATAGCTGTGTAGTGTAGTTAGAAGCTTTAGATGTCATTTAAGAGAGAAAATAAAACAAAAAATAATAATAATCTAACAAAAATTACAAAATATCAACTTTTTAAAAATAACAATGTTACAATATATACTTATAATTATCATATTAAATTCTTATAATGAAATAATAATGAATATTTTGTTTTCACAATTCTCAAGAGCAAAACATTATCGCATTATTGCAGCGACAACGGCGACATTAATTACCAGATCCTAATACTCAGCCTCTTTGCCCTTCGTGTTTAATTTAGTATACATGCAGAACATGAGGTTAGCACAGCATGAACATTCAAGGTTAATATACATTTACATCCTGTATCCAGAAAATACAAGGTCACAAGTGACAAACATAATATGGCTCAGCATTTTTTCTTGGCTCTAACGTCCTGTCCAGACTATCAAACTTTATTTGACAAAAACATGTGATGCTTAAATATGGTCATGATGATATCACATCATATATACATATATATATATACATACACATATATAATATATACAGTATATACATATACATATATATAATATATATACATATATATATAATATATATACATATATATATATACATATACATATATAAAATATATATATATATACATAATATATATACATATATATAATATATACATATATATAATATATACATATATACATATATATAATATATACATATATACATATATACATAATATATACATATATACATATATACATAATATATACATATATACATATACATATATACATATACATATATACATATATACATATACATATATACATATATACATATATATATATACATATATATACATATATACATATATACATATATACATATATACATATATACATATATACATATATACATATATACATATATACATATATACATATATACATATATACATATATAAAAAAAGTTTGTGATCTCGAAAGCTCCGATGAGGGCAGTATATAGAGGCTAAAAAAAAAGATCTATTTAAACCAATCAACTATAAATCAATCAGCCAAGAGTTTCTAGATCTCCTCATGAGGGCAGTATCATAGAGGCAGTAGAGCTAAAAAAAAAAAAAATCCAATTATCAATTAACTATTAATCAATCAGCCTCATGAGGCAATATAATAGAGGCAGTAGAGCTAAAAAAGATTTATTAATCAGCCGAATGTTTCTAGTACTAATTATATACCCACTCACTCACTCTGCATTCGAAGAAGAGAGAGAGAGACTCAAATGCAAGGTGTGGTCTAATGCATTTAGAAAAATAATATGACATTCGTTTAAAATAATTTGTAACAACAACAGTTCTCTATTTTTACACTCCCCAAGAGCAAGTAAAGCACTTATCGTTATTACACTATTCAAACCCAAATGACAACTATCAAAACATATGCAGCTTTTCTGCTCACTAGGGAGCAAATCTAAATCACACATTAAACATGATAATAAATGGCAAAGGCAGGATAAACAATTATTAAACATTCTCAACATAACAGGCTAATCACAGATTTTGGGGTCACGACACAAACGTATTAACACAGGAGCAGTTAGGTGCAGGGGTTGTGGTCCCAGGGAGCTCACCTGCATACAAACTAAACTTGTGCAATATATTTTACTGAGAATTGTTATGGGCTTGTACTGCTACAATTTACACAAAAAAAGGCCACTCTATCACACCAGAGAGGGCTCCCCAATTTCACCCCGGTTAAACCTTCCACACTTGTGCCTACCAAGTCTTCGCAAATATTCCCACCAATGCTGCAACTCTTCCTCCACCTATATTTCCCACTTGTCCTCGAAAATATACCCCTTAAAATGTGGCACCTCCCCGTACAAAAAAAATTTAAGAGTGAGCCCCCACCCGGGTTGTGGTTTAGCACTTCTCAATCTTGAGGTCGGGGTTAATCCTTCGTTGTTGTGTGTTTCAAGGTACTTTACCTACGGTAGTTTCTCCACCTAAGATTACTGTGGTACACTTTTTTATTTATTATAAGAACCAGTAAAATTTTTCCCAGGCTCAGTGTTCTTATTTTTTGGCCGATTTCAGACTCAAAATGTGGCAAAGACAAGCCAAACCAATCACTCGTCGCAAAAATCGATGTTGTGTTATTAATACAGTGTTAGAGAGTAAAATAATAATCGGACATTTCCTTATAAAGTTACAAGCGTTTAACTACACAGCTGTTTAAAGAACAATATATGAGAAATCAGCCTTTAAAGTTTATGATTTCAGGCATTTCTCATGCAGAAACTATCTTTAAATCCTTAAAAAGTGTTTTTTTAACATTGAAAATGGGGAAAATAATAGCATATGATGGTGTGTAGATATATAAAGGTTTATTTTATTGATTTTTTTTTAAATTTGACATTTTAGAATGTTTTGGCCATTTTCTCTGAAACACGATTTGCGACGAGTGACTGGTTTGGCTTGTCTTTGCCACAAATGTTCTTATTTTGTTCTTATGTTACACGCCTTTCAAACATAGAAAATTATTATTGTACAGCAGTATACACTGTACTGGAATGTAGGTAAATTGGCCTCGGAAAAATAGCCCCTGAAAAAACGGCCCCTGAAAAAATGGTCCCTGCAAAAAATGGCCACAAATAACAGGTAGGTAGGCCTGCACCTACTGTACTGTATAAAAGGGGTATTACATAGTCACACCTACTGCACATAAGGTATACTTTTTTGGTCTTTCTAGTTTAAAAAAAAAAAAAAATCTCATTTGACATTTTACCTCAGCCTCAAATTGTTCTTATTTTGTTCTTAATTTTTAAGCATTTTCAGCCTCAGTGTTCTTATAAAATGTGTTCTTATAAAAAAAAAAAAAAGTGTACTGTAGGTTTGATCACATATTGCACCAACAATTATACGTACATCATGAAATTCTCCCCAGGACGCCAAGTATGCATTCCATGTTTGATCCAATGACCTTGATCATAGATGTGAAGTATTTATAAGAGGGGCCATGTTGGCATTGATAAATAAAATACAGCCCTCCCTCTAAAGACCACTCTAATGAAAGACCCCTCCAATTAAAGACCACCTCCAATTAAAGACAACTTTTCTGTGGTCCCATATTAAGAAATATCTTTTATCTTTACTATTCTAATTAGAGACCAAAGCTGCTAGGACCATGGAAAAATTCCGTCCCAAAAATGTTTTATATTTGGAGGGAGACCTGTACATACAAATTATAACATATTCAAATGTATTAAAAACATTGACATTTATAAAATGTAAAAAAAGCTTTTTCAGTCTCTGTTTTTCTTTGGTTTTTTTTTTACAAGTTAGCGGTTTAGAGAGAATTCACTCTGGTGTCAGGCTTTAGCACATAATTCCCTCTTGGCATGCCCCTAACCTGTCTTTTTGTACTTGTTATGTGCTTGTGTTATATAAACATGCCGAATTTATAATAAAATAAATTTAAAAAAATGTCATGAGCTGAAATTGAATTCAATTAACAGTCAGTTAAATATGTTTTCTGTATGCTTTTGCATAGATCTTTGGTTGGTATAGCATTTGAGAATTGCAATAATGTCTGATGTAAAGTATATAAAAGTAAGTAATTAACTTTAATAAGAATTCATTTTGTCTGTTGATTAAACAGAGGGTTAAATAACTTCTTTTCAACAAGAGTTTGTTCACAATTATCAATATTTTCAAAAGTGTAGAAACAGTACTCTTTTCAGTACCTCCCTTTTTCCAATTTTAAGCACTTTTATTTTTTTTCAATTTTAAGATATTTTTCATTTTGTACAAATTAACATTCTAAATAATAATTTGTTTTGTACAAAATAAACATTCTAATTATTTAATGGCTATCTTATTAGCTCTTCCAAAACACCCAATATAATAACTTGCGCCTGTGGAGGAACGCACTGACAGGTGAGCGGTCGCTCTCGTTTCTATATCTGTTTCTAGTTTAATGTTAATAACTTATTGATCCTTTTAAATTACTTATTCAACATTCTGATTAAATTATTTTGGTTTCCTGAATTGTTGTCAAATAACCTTGAATTAAAGGAATGTGGCAAGATTAACTTGTTTTTCCAAGCTTGCAAATGTGAAATGGTTGAACAATTTTTTAAATAGCAAAAGGCATTTTACTACTATAATCCACTAATTGAAGAAAACACTGTACATTGGATTATTTAATCCAGAGCTATAGAAACTAAAGTATTTCACTAGGATAATTTCCTGATTGTACAAAGCTTGGTTATTATATACTGTAAAACCTCAAATAGAAGCCTCTGGCTTTTTTTCCCTTTTCTATTTTGTGACCTTTTGTATGGGCTTCTTTTCGAGATGGGCTTAGTAAAGGGGCCACTGAACTTAGTAAAGGGGGGGGGGGTTGGGGCTTCTTTTAAATGTGAATGCTGTAAATTAAATTTTGGGCATTTGGCTATAAAAAAATAAATAGGGCCACTGAAAGTCTGCATCACAGAGTGTATTAACCGGCATTTAAAATCAACCAAGCATATGTTTTAAATTTATTTTGTTTTATTTGAAAGTCGTGTACAAGGACATACTGCACTATCTCGAAAAGCAGCCTGTGCTATCTTGAAAAGAAGGCCATCTTTTCTATGCTACTTTTGCAAACTAAAGAGGCGGCTTCAATTTCAGATTGGATTTTTCTAGAAATTAAGCCCATTGGGCATTTATTCTAGGTTTTACAATATTTTTAACATGATTTTTAATCCAATGGTATTAACTACAGTACAGCACAATGCACTGAACTGAAGCGCAGTCCGCAAAAAATGAATTTGCAAGAAACTAATATATATATTTCTTGGCATATTCTGATTAATTTTTTTGAAGATAATTCATTGCAATAGGTGTCTATATATAGTATCTAAGAGTCTTAATATGAGGGGAAGGGACGGGTCCAGAGATGCCTGAAAGGGAGGGAGCCGAAAGTTTGGCCGGTCGAGATAACCCTACCCTAGGGGTCCAGGGTGCATGCCCCGAATCTGTTGTTCTACACGCCCAAAAATAACCTCTGAAGCACTTTGGCCACTCAATTTTTTCCTTTTCTTTCTTTCTTTTCTTTTTTTTTAGCTTTCCAAAAGTGGGTGAGCCAAAGCAGGCCCGGCCCCCCCCACCCCTAAATCCGCCCCTTGGGGGTGCAGGACTTTTGCTAATTTATAGTAATAAAATACAAAAATATAATCCTATTTATTGCAATACTACAGGATAGATCACAAAGTATATCCAGGCTAATAATCATACCATGTAACCTCGTAAAAATGCTGAAATTAAACACACTGGGGGCTTCAAAAGCTTCTGAACATATCGGTTTATAATGTTAACCCATATTATAAAAGTAGAGGTAGGCAATTAACGAGAACTCACAGCATCATGTGCTAAATGGCATAGACGTGATCGGTAAGTATAATTTTTACGATATCAAACGAATCAATATGTAAATAAGGCTGCATCGGCAATAAAATTCAGACATCCTTTATACAAAAAGACGACTAAGGTTTTAGAGATATCTACTCAAGGAATGAAAGAGGGGGAAAACACTCAAGCCTATGGAATTAGATTTAGGGTTCTACAGGGGGTCTGACCATTTTTTGCAGAGCAATATGGGACTGATCAGGGTCCAAAGGGAATTTTATGTTAAGTTGTTTGAAGCATATCGTCATCGACATCACAAAGAGGCTTTAAAAACATGAAAAACACTTTAAAAAAAATCAGTTTTATTAAGTAAAGGTAATCCACTTCAAACACGTTTTTTTCCAAAACGTTTTGGTCGAAATTGAAGATTGTCTCTTTGTGAAAATAGTGACGATATTATACCAAAAAAAATTAAACATTATAAAAAAATAGTTTTGTTTTGAAGAGAAATATACAGTACAGAATTTTTATGAGTACTAGCAAATCAATCAATATGTAAGTGAGGCTGTGTTGGCAAAAACATAGATTTTAGTTTCAAGGTTCCAAAAGCTGGTTTTCATCAGTGAATATACCTACATAGGCCAACCGTAATGCCAAGAAAAATTTGCGCAATTTTAGGCCTTTTAAAGCTTACTCCAGATTTTTTGAATTGTAAAATAAATAAATAAAATAAAAAAAACTTTTGGTATGAGGACTCATGAGGGAGGACGGCCTGTCTGACGCTGGTAGTGGATCTTTTAAAATGGATAGGGGTGCCAGGACATTTTTTTTTGAGAGGTCTGTTTGATGTTTATTCTTCCAAATTTCAGGTATTCTTTGTGATAATATATTAAGCAAAATGACATTTGTACAATGGCCACAACACAGGTTAAATGCAAGAGATTAAGACCATTCCTGAGCCAAATTATTTTGTAGATTATTTGGTAAAAAGTAAGCCACTGTAGACATTATTATTAAAAGATATCTTTGACTATATACATTTATAGTACTTTGTTTGTAGTACTTGGTCAGAGGGTTTGTCCTTGTCTATATAGAAAATTTTTTTTAACCTTCTGGACCGTTTGTCCATAGATGGGAGGCTTAACCCTTTCACCGCACATCAGTGATTTATTTATAAATTTATTACCACATCTTGAAAACACTCAAATGGATTATGTGCAGGAAATATGCAACATGAGATAACTATCAATTTAAACATCGCATCGGAAAGAGGAAGAATGTGCTTTTGCCTAACCACAGACGGTTTGATGTCAGGATTTGAGCACCCTTCATAGAAACAATTTTTTTTTTATTAAGGGTATGTTCACACACACAGCGTAAAGCTGGCGTAGCTTACGCCAGTGTAGTAAGCGAATCCACGGAGGTGTCGAAATTTCTACTATTTGCTGCTTATGGTCTGAATACTGAATTATAGCTAGCTAAAAACAGAGCCAAATGTAGGGCCAATCTTCCAAATAATAAAATTTTAACGTTTCAAATGATCATCAAAATCTTATTTCCCCTGATATATTACATTCATTCATACTAAGTAACTTCATTTCAGTAGTAAATTTTGTGTTGAACATGATTTGAAAATCAAACATTTGCGTGTGCCCCTACAGTATAAGACGATCCCTGTTTTACGATCGTAATTTGCTGTTTTAATCTTCGACTTATACATGAGAATTTACGGTACTCATATATTAAAACAACCTATCAATGGTTACCATTTAGTAGGAGGTGTACATCCATCACCTGCAAAAATTAGTGTTATCATAATTCCTTTGTACCACCATAAGCTCAAAAACTTGATGAACAGGCGTAAAATAAAAACATTGTATACCTTTTAATTTATGTGATTTAGTGTTTTTTAAAGTTGCTTGTATGTTTTATCTGCAATTTATTTTGCACCTGCTATAATTTCCTTTTGGACACTAAAAGAAAAAAGAAAGAATTCCGAGTCTGAATGGATCGTTATACGCACCAAATTATTCCTTTGACGAACATCATCGTTGCTTCGAATAAACTGTTGAAGAAGTCTCGAAGTGGCTTCCCAACTTCCTCCAGCTTGCCAATTATGATGCCGAAGATAAGCGAGAAAACCAAGAGGCCCATTACATTCATACGGTCTTTGGTGCCGACCACGTGTTTGACCATCGTTGTATTGGTTTCGTTATCATACTCAACGACACGTTCTGTCTTGTACTGTGATGGAAAATATCTCAGATTTACAATATGAATTGCATGAAAAAATTGTTTACATAGCAAAATTTTGATTGTTTCAATTAAATATTAATGTATACAATTGATTTCTATCAATGCATCATATGTTAATATTTTCATCTGTAATTTAATATTAAAATAAAATTTTGGTTAATATTTTAGGAGTTTAATTATCACAACATATCTGAGTATTGCATATTCTACTTTCTATTTTTCTTCAATGTACGATCAACATAGTTTTAGGCACTGTTTCAGTACATTCCAATGAAATTATTGATTTTACAGTATATAAATAGAAGTATAATTAATAATATTGAAATACGTCAAAATAAAAGTATAATGTAATTTTATAGGAATGTTTGTTTGCGCAAATTGTTAATAGTAGGCAACCATTTAAAAAATGTTTAATCACATTTTTGAAATTTCAAGTTCATTTACATAAAATTAATATATTAAAATTGCAGAGAAATATCTGGCTTTTGTTCCCATTACAAACATCATTAACAAATACGTGAAGAGAATAATTATTTATTGCATTTGTATAAACAATGATAATGAAAATAATCACATTTAAACCATAAAGAGTATGGCTTGGCACCAATTTCGTAATGGACCGAGTCGTCCAACCTTTATTCACCAAAGAGGAAGCTGTGATATATCCTCAGAGTCCCTCTTAGCAGTACTGTAAGCGCAAGAGTAGGTTACATCAAGAACATAATATGGAAATGAACTGTTTTTCCTTGTGTTGCGTCCCATCTTCGAAAAGGTCTTGTTACCGGCACCGACTGCTTATCTGTAAACTCATTCAAGTTTAACTTAATACATCCTAGGAAACATTTTTACGTTCTTTATAGCTAGAAACTCATTTTCATCAATATGTGAACTGTATTCAGACTCCATGCATTAAGCCAACGAAAGTGGTTATTATAATATTATGATTACAATAATAATGCAGCTACATTGTTCACTAGTCGCCTATACAAAAAGTGTATATTTAATAAAAGGGTTCTAATTTGTAAAAATGATATTACATACAATAGAGGATAATCTCAAAGATAACATATTTGCACTGTCTGCTCTCTATGATCATTATTGATATAGTCATAAATTTTTTTAAAGAAAAACATGTTTACTGCCATATTTCCTCTCTATCATCATTAAAGATGACTACTTTTACAACAAACCATAATAAATTTTTAAAGATCGGTTGAGCGATGACACAATATGCTTAAGGCAAATTATATATTGTTATCAGTTTTTACTATATTAGTAATAAAACATTGCATGAAAAGCACATTTTTAAAAATAGATTTCAACAGTCTTTATACTATACTACATGAATACGAATGAACAATAAAAATATCTCATACCTGGCGAAAACAAGCTGCAACAATATTTGATGGAAGCATGTTTCTGTAGAGAAGAATATATTTAAGATTGTAATTTTTTCCAATACCAGTCATCATGAATATATGCAGCATTTTCATTTGGGAATGATTATTTGATAGTAAAACTCAAGGATGTTTTTTTTTTTTTGTTTTTTTTTTTTGGGGGGGGGGGGGGGGGGGCGGGCCCCCCCCCCTTTTTTG